CTAAGGTAATCAAGGTAATCATGTGTTTATGTGTTCATATGTGTTTATATGTGTTCATATGTGTTCATGTGTTCGCCAAAAATTGTCATTTTCATCCATTTCGAAAACAGCGATAATTATTGTTTTTTAAATTGTATATTTCAAAATAATATCCTGGGAAGCTATTTTATACAAATCGAAATACAATAGTTTTGGTTGATTAACATATTGTACTATATAAATCACATAAAGTAAAAATTTTAATGGTGGAATTGAGATGTGGTTTCTGTTGCCGGTAGCGGTAATGCATTTTCATATTAATTATATGTATAGTTTTAGTTAGAGTACATTTTGTAAAATGCTATTTTCATGCCCATTAAAAATAGCGGATCCATTCGGATCTTTTTTGTGAAACACTAGGATTAGTCATGTACAGTATATGCAATGTTGATATATTTTCCGGGTCTATACAAAATTCCAACATCAAAAATCTCAAACATGCCATAATACTGACATCACGCAATATAACAATTAAAAATTTAAAGTCTGCCAATGATTGTTAATTATATACTTGCTAATCTTTAAATATTTATTGTCACGTCACGTAATGTCAGCATTATGGCCTGTTGAGATTTTGGATGTCAGGATTTCGTGCTAAACCCATATCTTAAAACCTACAATTTTAATACACATGTATCTACTTATATTGTTTGATACATCTAAACATACCTATAAGATTGCTATAGTAAAAATAAGAAGTTTTAGAGTATGCATAGATTCAGGATTGGTCAGATCACTGGTCAACCAAAAATTCGCTAAATAAATAATTTAAGATACAAAATATATACATATGGGGTGAGTCAGTAGAAATGAACCATATCTTAATAAAATTTTTTTTGAATTTTCAAACAAAAATAACTTAGCAAAAACTTAAACAAATTTAGTAAAAATTTTTTTAAATAAATTCTACAAGTTTTTAAAATTTGTTTTAAAAAAAAATTTATTAAATTTGATTAAGTTATTGTTGAGTTATTCTTTGTTTAAAGTTTTAAAAAAATTTACTTAGAAAAAATATAGTGCGTTTCTACTGACCCATCCCCATATGTTGTAAGTGAAAATAGAATTTAAGTGGATTTGGAATTTCCTATATATAAATTCCGGATTCACTTAAATTCCGTCTCTACTTACAACATATAGTAAATATCCTTTGACCAATTTACCAATATTAAACCTTTTAACAACTGGTCAAATTAGTCTGGTCAAGTTTGACCATTGACTGGCCTGTGTCAACACTGCTTAGATGTATCAAAAATGTAGGTGCAGAAGTATCAAAAATGTATGGTTTGCTTCCCCGGCAATCTAATTTTACACATTATGTGAATCTAACAATTAATATGATACCGTAAAGTGCCAACTGATGTATCCGGGTATTTACAATGTCTTGAGCTATACCCGGGGTACAAAAGTAGGAAGAAATAAATAAATAGTTAATTAAATAAATAAATTAATTAATTTTTATATAGTACCCGGTATTTTCAAAGTATAGGGGTACTATTTATTTAACTTTGATATAAATCAAATTTAAGTTCACAAATCATCACGGGGTATATCTCATAGGGGGATCTACCGTACGGTAGATGGATAAATTTATTACTTAAATCTATTGAATAAATTTATATAATTAATAACATTTTTTTAGCAAGCTCTGATCCAACAGTAGCATAATATTCTTTCAGCTGATCTTTTTATTCGAGTTTTTACTTAAATATGGTACATTCTAAATAACAAAAGTAAACAAAATGTTTAGTATAGTATACAAAAAATAAATGTGTTAATAAATACTTACATTAAAACTCTTCACGGTTCCATCAACATGCACCAATACATCTTTGATATCATTGTCAGTGACTTGATTTGGATCAAGCATGCCTGGTGACGGTCTCTCACTGTTTTCTGCACATTGCCCAGAAGTTTCATGGTTTGCAGATTGAACATTAGAAGATGGATTTGAAAAAGATACGTATTTGTATTGATTTAAAAGACTGGAACAGTGTTCAAATGGGTACCATTCATAAGTCTCCTATAAATATAATCAAGAATGAATGTTATAGTATTTTGCATAATGATATTAACAAAAAGATTACGAACAGGATCTAGAAGGTCAGATGGTTTGTATTCTCCCTTGTAACGCATCTTTTGACAATTGTGAATGTAATATCCTAAAAAATTATGAATAGATGAAGTCACGTAAAGAAATCGACTTCGATTTACACATCTAAACACTTACCCATATAGTACCAATGTAAATCTTTCAATCCTGCAGCATACAATTCAAGGGTCATTGATATTTCTCTAAGAGCACTGTATTTTCCGAGCTGTAGGTAACTAAAATCCGGATCATAAAAAAAAGTAAACAGACGATGCGCATTTTGGTAGTATGTCAAGAACGGCAACAGCAATCAGTTTATCGTCCAAGTAATAATTTTGGTGAAATGAGCCATATCCCGGCGTATTTGGAGTTACTTGCTGTTCATACTTTAAATAAAGACAATTAACATAAAATCAGGTTTAATAGATTCACCATATAGAACACTAAAGGAAATTTAAGAAGTACTTTTAGTGGAGGAATCTCCGAAAACCTCTTTCAGATACGTCAGTATCATTATGAATATTGGTTTGATATTTGTAATAGAGTTGATATTTTTCTTGAGTAAAAGAAGATTGTTCAATCGTAATCTATTCACATAAATGCATATCAAAAGTTGTAAATTTATTTAGGCAAAATTTATTAGAAAAAATTCTTTAATATACAGCACTTTAAATTTATGTTTCATATCTACTCAACACTCTGCTTCATGGATTACTTCAATCAAATCAAAAGTTTTTTCGGTACGCTACTTAGATTTCGATTTGTCCCTTCGAAGAAAATATTTTTTAGAGGTTAAGCATAGAACTTAATTTATTAATACGATCACATTTTATTTGGTTACCTATTTGAATCGGTATCTTGCGTGTTGGAAGGATCATATGATCCTTCAAGAAATTGATTAAATCTGTTGATCAATTGCCGTTGCGATTTTGAGGCATGAAATTTTGTTGCATCCAATCTATTGAGAATACATGTTTATTAAAATCGAAGTATATATAAAATTATAGCACTGTGCTAATTATAACAAAGAATTGCCTTATTGTATATTGCGGGCAACAACTATCGCGTAAATTTGGCTTATAAATCAATGCACCAGCTCTGTATTAGAATATTAGAAATAAGATATTTTAAAACATTGTTAATTCTCATTGATTAACCTTGACTTTGAAATTCTCATACCGTCGCCAGCCACGATCGATAAGGTCTTGGTAATCCTTAAAAAGTAACAAAGTTAATATAACATACTAACAAAATAATATAGATCGCGTTTTAAAACATTTGCCATCCCTAGGAAGAACTGATCAGGAGTTACGCACTACATGCTACAACCCAATCCTGATCAGTTCATAGGTCAGAAGGCAAGAGTCGAGATCAGAAATCAATCAATCGAATCAGAGCCAGTGGTCATTAGTAGCAAACATAGCTAGTGAAAATAGCGAGTAAAAATTAGCATAATTGTACCTCGCGCGAGATAAGCCTAGCATACATTTCACATATCGCACGTGCGACTTTGTCATGCGAGTTCGCGAGTTTCATGTGATAAGAATTCATTTTAGAATGTATGCTAAAAATTTCATTAAAAATTTCTTAATCGAATAGTTTATCTCGCGAGAGTCACGCGAGGTACATCTCTAGCTAAAAATTTAAATGCATATTATATATTTTACAATCTAGATGCTTGAAAGAATCAAGAATATCCTGAGATCTGCACCCGGTCTAGTATCTGGTGGGTCTGATATCTGAGTGGGTCTTTTATATTGCTGTTTACGATAGTACGATGTATGATATTTAAAATAAACCATATAATAAGTATATCTAAATTTACTACTATATGCGAAATTATTGATTATTTAGTTTAAACTAATCAAGTTCGTATTAATTTATTTACAGCGTTGTCATAAATTCTGAGACTGCTAAAAAAATTTTTGACATCAAAACTTATCAATTCGGTCATTGACAACTTTTCAAGTATCCAAAATATATGAAAACATAGTAGTAATATGATATATTAAGATAAGTTTATGTGTATGCAATGTCACCCAACAAGATCAACCCAAATTTTTTTAGGATAAGCCGATTAAGCTGATAAGTTTTATCGGCTTAGCTGGTCGAAGAACTTTGATTAGCAGGATCACTGGTAAACGATTTATGATAAAATTCTGCTTGTACCTAAATAGTTTCAATATTCAAAATCTACTTAAGTGGATTCTGAATTCACAGATTTTGAATTTACATTTTAATTCGAAGTTAGATTCTGAATTCACAGATTTTGAATTTACATTTTAATTCGAAGTTAGATTCTGAATTCACAGATTTTGAATTTATTTACAATATACATTTTAATTCGAAGTTCTATAACGTAATGTAATGATAGAGCACGATCAATTTCTATTTTTAAGCCGAAATTTTCAATGAATAATAAACAACTTAGATAAGTTGACTAAGTTAACTTCTAATCACTTATATTATTTGCCTTCAGCTTATAAGATTAATTGAATAACACATTTTCTGTTTATACTGTATATTATTAATCTATTGCTTAAACTTAAATAACCTTTCGCGTATTAACAATTTCTGTCACATTGTAAAAAAGTGACATGTAAATAATCACATATAGTTTTGGCCAATAATAGCAAATTGTCTTTTATTTATGTGACAAAAAAATAAATCACATAATACGGTAAAAATCTACATATACCCGTGATCATGGTCTAGAAAAAGATAATACATAATTACCGTTTATAGTTAAGCATAATTATTTATAGTTAAGTTCATTGATTTTTCAGGTGCCAAAATGACAACGCATGTTGTACAATTTAGTTGAAAAATTTTTTCAATTCCCGATCAATTTGAACTTTGTGTAGTTTTCACAATGTCTGATGAGTCAACAACTAATGCTAAAAAAAGTCGCTCTTTGAGTGATGCAGAACGTCGCCTTTTACGAAGGCAAAAAAGAATTTTAAATAATGCGAATGGCAGACTAGACCGAATCACAGCTACTCACTCGAGTACAACCTCTCTTAACGCAGATTCGACTTCAGCTTTAACTAGTAGGAATGTATCTCCTCAACTTAGTCAAAGGTCTTCACCTATAACTTCAGAACCTCCAGATAGTATATTTTCTTCGAGAAGAAATACCGGAAATTTCGGTAACACTATGTTGAAACCTTTAAATATAAATTCTTTTAACTCATATTTGTGTTTCCGTAACATTTTGATGCTTGTTTGTTACCATAGAACCTTTACCGCCACCTTTATATTCCGATTCGACAATACAACCATCACCAGACGGACCATCATTTACTCCTCTTATCAGGATTAATAACGATTCAGATTCACAAAAATTGTTTCATCAACAAGATCGAGAACATCCTTCTGCTTCTACTCCAACTTTAGTAATCCCAAATACATCATCCTTAACTGGTGATGATGATAATAATGGATATTTTGAAAATGATGAACATTTTAGGAGAGAGTTAGCAAACTTTCGTGCAGGAAATAGTAGTACAACTTCGTTAGCATCAACTATTGGTACTACTAGTGACTATCCTCCTGGTAGTTATCCACCTTCGATTTCGCATGAGGATTTGGCGATATACGATGAGATAAATGCTTATTGCCAACAACATCAGCAACAATCTATGCCACCTTTACCATTTCTGTCATTTATGAGTCCTGACCTAGTTCCACCTGGTCAACAACAATTAGATGTTCAATCTAAATTATGGCAACTAATCCATTTTTTCGCAATGATTATGTTGGGTTTGCTTGTTATTGGATCTGAAGTGTTTCGACGTGATGGTACTTGGAGTCGATTAGCTATACTTAATTCTAAAAAACCAGATGAAATTGTTGATTCAGATCGTGTATCAAATTTGGTAATTATGTTATTAATATCTATTCTTAGTGATATTTTAATCTTTCTATATCTTCTAAAAATTTCTCTTATTTTTTAGTCATTGTTTTGGTATTTTGTAACTATTGAGCTGATCCTTCAATCTTCTCGATTATTTTTACAAAAGGTATAATTAAACATTCGTATATACATTTTTTACCTGTGATTTATTACTGAATTTAAATTATCGAAATTATTTACTCCACCTAAAATATAGGATCGAACATTTGGAGGTTCAGCACTAGGTACAATAGCCGCGAATTTACCACCACCACTTTCTGATGTGCTTACGGTGTTATTGAGATATAACTTGATTTGGAATAGTCTTTGGGAAGATGTTTGTGTGTTAGTATTTGTAGTTGGTTTCTATGTGATGATTTCTCCGGTGCTATCGATTTTTTTGTGGTAATCAGTTCAATGTTGATGCCTAGCTGGATTTTTTTTTTTTTTTTTCTTCTTTGGATGAAATGGGCATTAGATGATATTTATAAACAATGCAAAAAAGAAAAACTATTGCAAAAAATGTGCTTGAAAAAATTACAATGTAATTATGTAGTATTGTACGGTTTTACTTGAAAGTGTATATAACGAATAATTAGACTTGGATGGGAGATTTATGGGTTTATGAGATATTATTGATTGGTAGAATTCATGTAGAGTTCATGGATAAAATCGGACTTTTTGAACTGTTTATTCCTTTTGTATTAAGAATATCAATATTCTATTACATTACTGATGATTGTGTTTAAGTTGGAAATCGAAGTTATAAAATATGAATAATTTATGAAATTTTTGGTCTTGTCTTGTGGAATAGTATTAAATCGTGTATAAATGATTGTATCTGAAAAAAATCTTGTAAATTGTAAAATTTGTATGTTATTTAGTATATAAATAAAAATAATTCTGTTTTTTTTACCCGGATCATAGTTGCCGATAAGCTAGATACGTACGTACGTACAGTGGTCACATGGCTAAAATTAGTACAGCTAAATGAATACTATATGAAAAAAATCAGAAAATCTTGCATTTAAAGAGGTATTACATTTAGGGAGATAAAAATCTATAAGTATCATATGAGTTGGGGCCAAACAAGACCATGCATTTAGAGAGGTTTTTATAAACTATGCATTTAGAGTTACATTTAGGGAGTCTGTACGTAGTATATGTATTACTGATATACAGCATTTATATTTATACTTAAAACTAGTTATTAAATCTATATATACATATTTGTCGTTTGTTATTTTATTATTTGTTTTTGACTCTTTGATAATACTTTGAATTTATTTAACATTCACTGGAGGTGAAATTTACCAAGATGTTTTTAATTATTATTATATGATCTATAGAAAATTTGGCCACAAATTTTAAAGCAAAACTAAACTTTAGGGTTAGGTTAAATTAAGATAGAGGGAGCTTAGGGTTTTTTAGGCGATGATCAAAGCCGTTTTTGAAGAACAATATACCCAGTGAATTTCACCTCGATGAGCGTTAAAATCGTCCTAATACTAAATAGTTGTCGAAAACTGAATCATATTGACTCTTTAACTTATTGATTCAGTCATTAGGAAAAATTTTTAAATATTCTAGAATTTACGAAAACAGTTGTACTGTAAAAAATCATATATAAGACCTGATCTTACATTCCACTGATTCTAAAAACCTATAATAGACCGGAATATAATATACAGCGTATTGTAGCAAGGTAAGTTATATAAAGTGCATACATACTTTGCATTTGTAATAAGCAGTCTAGGTTTTTGAAAACACCTGCATTTATTTAATTAAAGTCCTGTGGTTTGTACACGGATCTAATTCATCTATTTACAGTAGTATTGAATAAATCAAGAGAGGAGTAAAAAAGTTCCGGATGGAAATGAACGGAAGTAAAAAAACGAACAAGGCTAAAATTTACAGTAATATCTGGTTATAAATCCGATTTGAAAAAGTTTTAATCGGATAATATCCGGATAGAGAAACTTTAATCTGGATAATATCCGATATCCGTTTAAGTATCCGGATTTCCGGATCCAATCACTCTACAAAATTACTTTGCCCATCTCTATTAGTCAGATCAAAATTTGATTCTGAGATATATAATTAGTTTATTATATATTAAATTAAGGTTGGTTTTATTTTTATTAGTTTTGTCATCTTTTGTTAGTTTTGTTAAATTTCATTATTTTAAAAATTTTTTGACAAAAGATGAAATTTAGCTTTGTCTTTTGTCACTAATACAACCTATAGGTTTCATTTAACAACCTTAAAGTACTAGCTTTACAAAAGCTCAATTTTTATTTTAGAAACTAATATCAGGTACTCAAATTTACAAATTATATAAAACTACACAAAATATGATTTTACAACCATAGTATATAATGTATATCCAATTAGCTAATATATTAATTTTTATAAAAAGTTTTTCAAGCTAATCTATTTTTTTTATTTAGATAAGTTTTACTTTATTAAATGCTTCATTTTGGGATGTTCGATCAGGATCATTTTTTATCCAATATATATTTGGCTAATGTTTTATTCATATTCTTCCACAGAACTATCGCATTATATGGTTTTCAAATGCATGGAATTGGAGTTGAAAAGGGTTGACCTCTTTCCAATTTGATATTCTTCAAGTACATAGAATTGGAGTTGAAAAGGACTGTCCTTTTTAGCATATAATCATTTAAAATACATAGAATTGGTGTTGAAAAGGATCTTTTCAACTTAAATATATAGAATTGGAGTTAAAAAGGATTTCTTTTTAATTTGGAATCGCAATTTATTCTGTTTTATTAGTGGTTTCCAACTGAACATTTTCTAATAATAATAAATATATAATAAATATTACTAGATTATTATTTGTATTTTTTTTTATTTTTCATAAAACATTTTTATATTCACTATATACAGAATCTTTTTCAAAATAGCATGTTCTATTTGTTTTGAAGATTTGTCAAAGTTGCTTTAGTTTACGGATTTATTTATTTTGGAAACTTCAAAATAATTTGGCAAAGATTCTATATTATATTTTCAATTCTTGTTTATTAATAAAGAATTTATATAATTCAGTTTATATTATAATTAATGTAATTTTCAAATTTAATACTCCTTTAAATAATCATTTATGTCTGATTTTGTAATTTTATTAGCCAATCAAAAAAATATAATTACATAATTTTTTATGTATTATCCTAAAATAAAACTCTGAGAAGTTATTTCAGAATAATACAGTATGAGTCATGATTTAATATAAATTTAATATTTAATCTGTTTTATATAAAATTTAACAGATATCTGGAATATACAAAAATACTATTTCTGATAGATAGTTAGTACTATTTCTGAAAAAAATTAATCTACATACTGTTTCTCCAAAATATTATACTACTATAATGAAAAAAGTTAGGATTAAGATTCATTTTTAGAACCCTATCAAGAATAGTGCTCAAATAAATTTGTTTTTAATTCTATCAAGATTGGTATTGCTGATCTATCAGAAATAGTATTTTTGCTTGGAGTATCAGTTAAATTTAATATATAAAATGAAATTTATTCAAAACAGATTAAAATTAATACCATATATAGTATGTATATTACTACCATCTAGGATATCTTTTTGCATCTCTCCATCTAGATAAATTATAAAAAAAAATATAAAAATCTAGTAAATATATTTTATATAATAAACAATTAAATGCCAATACATAAATTTACTTGAAAACTTTATATCATCAATAATACAAAAACCTAAAAAACATAATGATGAATCACTTATTAATGGTGTTAACAAAGTGGTGGTAGAGTTAATGAAATAAGTTGAAGTTGAATTGAAATCTCTTTTTATATACAGTTTTTCTTAATTTATGAGAATTGTCTAAAGCCAGTGTTATTATCAGAAGAGCATCAAAGTTTAGATCAGTAATAGTGAATAATGAGTACCGTAAACTGCCATATACAAGATCCCCCCATATATCAGACCAACCTCCATTTTTCACTAATTATTTTCTTTTTTTTACTAATTAATTTTTTTGATGGAATGTAAAAGACTCGGGTCTTTTATATAGCAGTTTACAGTATATTAATTAGAAAATAGGGTTTTTATATAGAGACAAGATGAATATAAACTAATTAAGTAAGGTTATCTATATACATATATTATAAGTAGGAATGGAATTTAAGTAGATTTGAAATTTTCTAGTTAAATTAGGGTTAGGATTAGGGTATATATATAATAAAATCAATCACAAAACGAGGATTTTATATATAAATTTCAAATTCACTTAAATTCTGTTTCTACTTACAACATATATAATAATAACGAAGTAATATAATAAAAAATTAAATATAGTAAGCAATATTAGTATAGTTTATTTGATTATAACAAATTTAATAATAATATGGATACTTTTTAAGTATTTTTAACAATGACTAGTAATACTTAAATGATAAAAGCACAGTATGTATATAAATAACAAGATAAGAAATTTAATAAAACTGTGGTGTATTTACAATAAACTATGAAAAATAATGTCATGACAATGTATTTACAATAGTGCAATGATATAACAAGATAATAACAGTGAGAATTTGATAGAGTTATAATAGTAAGTTTATATATATATAACAGTCTCAGATATTACTAAATTTGAATGATGTAGATCATACTCTTTTTTATACAATTAGAACATTCTTGATACTTCTATTTCAGTCTATTACTATTCTATACTAATCTATAAGGCTAAAATTATATCAATCATCGTTTGCTTTCTGATTTGGTAAACAACCACCTTATAAAGCCTCTGGGATCACAAGGGATCTCTAGACTAAGTGTCTATAAGACCATTTATATCAGAATTAATTCAAACATTTATTATTAACTATCTCATGACCCTGCTACTGGCTGTTTTAATATATAAATTGATTCTAGAGTATTCTTTACTATGTTGTAAATTGATATTATATTTGGTAAAATCTGAGATTATATAAGAGATTGAAGTTTAGAAAACTTTATTAAAGGTTGTAAATTGAGTCTTTAAATATACAAATTTATATATATAAATTAATATACTACTTAACTATAAAACCCTTTTATCTATCTTTCTCTTCAAGAATTACTGTTTTCCATCTATTATGCAGCACTTTGATAATAAAGGAAGGGACAAAAATCAGTTGATTTTTTAAAGAGAGGTTTGTGATTCGATCAGGTCTTATATTTTGTAGTTAAATTTAATTGGCTAATATTTGAATCAGGTAGAAAGTGGGAGTATAGCCTCTTAGTAACTTGAAATCACCTGATTTTTGTCTTTTCCCTAAATAAATACTCTTTATTATTAAAGATTATTGAAGGTTTTGAATATCTATTCTTCTGTTTCCAAGTTTGGTGATTTATTTAATACTAAATATTTACTGAAATCAATAAATTAATAGTTAA